GAAGAACGTTCAGGAATCAATTTAATGTCATAAATATGGATTTATAGAAATCTAGCGCTTGCAACGAGGAGTCAAGAACGTCAAAACTACAGCTCAGACGCTGCGCACGGTAAGGAGAAACTTTTGGGCCGAACGGTACGACAAAGACAGGCATCCTTGAAAATTGACCCTCTCTCTCGGCTCGCGTTAGGCGCCTCAGTGCCCTTTCCAGTATTACTCTATTTCAGTGATCCTGTAAGACACTGTGGCGCAAGTTGGACGTTCACCCAGTGCCTCCGTTGTATGGCCTAGGAACTAAGCGCGCCGTTAGCGCGCTTGCGCGACCGTAGTGGCATAGTGGGGGGAGGGTAATGTGACCTGGTAAAGTTGGAAAATTGAATGGACATTTTTCTGATGTTGTATTATACAATATCGAGATTTTCCCGGTGGCTCGGCGCAGTGGGTAAGTTCGTTGCCTCACATGCGAAAGGTTCCGAGTTCAAATCCCGGCCGGGTAGAATGGTGCGATCTAACCATTCAAAGTCTTGGTCATCATCGCAGTATACCCTAACCGAGTCGAAGCGATGTAAAATAACGTTAAAAAAAATATATATATAAATATCGAGATTTGAATTGAAATGATAACTGGGAGGATTGCCGGGGGGAATAAACACAGAAAGTGGAAAAACCATTTATCTTCCGACAAATTCTTACATGAATATAAATCCTCTTTTTAAAATAGATATTGTGTGGTGCAATGAGGTAACATTATCGTCACAGGAGAGGATGAAACAAAAAGATAATAGAGGTTCGATTTTGATCAGGTTTAAGTGAAATAGCATGGGCGGAATGATAAGGACAATTTGATGCAGATCTAATTGAAATATAATAAAATAAAATAAAAAAATCTAATTGAAATAATTCTATCTTTTTCTGCAATAGAAAATAACACGTGGTATTTATTGAAATTATTTTTCATAATTTCAAAGACTAATTACAATACAACAAAGACATTATTCAGCAGACTGTGCGAGCTATATCACTGCCAGTTTTATTATTTTATCACCGTTAGTGAACTTCTCATATCTCCAAATTATTGCCTTGCATTGTCGAATGCAATTCATATTTACTCTTTCTTTTTATCATGATTGGAGCCTATGTTTCATATACATTACCTCCTGCAACATCTACTTAGAGTTGCATTACACATTTCTCTGATACAAAATTAGAAAATTATGGAAAGACAATTCTTTGGATTTGGTGGATCTTTTTTTGCAGTATTCACGCCGAACCATTTTTGTAAAAGTTTACAGAATGGAAGGAATGAATTATTTCGTAACCTAACTGACAATTGAACTCTTCCTAAAGACATTCGTCGACAGGTAATGCCCAGGTANCATGATTGGAGCCTATGTTTCATATACATTACCTCCTGCAACATCTACTTAGAGTTGCATTACACATTTCTCTGATACAAAATTAGAAAATTATGGAAAGACAATTCTTTGGATTTGGTGGATCTTTTTTTGCAGTATTCACGCCGAACCATTTTTGTAAAAGTTTACAGAATGGAAGGAATGAATTATTTCGTAACCTAACTGACAATTGAACTCTTCCTAAAGACATTCGTCGACAGGTAATGCCCAGGTATTCACTGTTGATTGACAGCACTGAAATGTAGTATATACTGAAATGTAGTATATAGTGATTGACAGTTACCGAAATGACAGATATTTGGGGGTTATGGGACCGGAAAAATGACACAGTCAGATAACCATCTCCACTATCTAGCATTCTAGTCGCGCAAGCGCATTGAGGCATCCTGTAGTTCCGAGGCCATACAAGGGAGGCGCTGGCGAACTATTCAAGGCTAGAGATCACGGATCTCTATATAACTGATTATTCAAAATTGATTTTTTGAAAAAACTAAAACGTCAATTAAATCTAGCAAAAAATTACGATTAAAAAAAATCTAATAACATTCTTTGGCGATTCTTTGTAGTTTTTAAAAATTCAATTTTTTCAATTATTAACAATTATACAATTCATTAATAATACAATATTAATAACAATTGTACTAATTTCGACATTCCTCCATGCTTCGGCTTCCTTTCGCGTTTATTGACAATGTCAGTTTTCACTGATTATTAACAAAAGTTCGTCTATTATTCTGGATGTCCTACACGGTAAAATATCCTATAATATTTCCCAATGCTCTCGGTAAATTTACCACTGCCCCACTACCTGCAGCTGACACGGACATGCGCACTAGAGAGAATCTTACTTCGCTGACTACTATCCGGAGGCGCTGCGTACCTCTCTAATAAACTCACTGGCTGCGATAGGGATCGGCTATCCAGTTATATAGAGATCAGTGATTACTGTCTATAATTCTGTAATTATTGTATGGTGATTACTCCTCCGATATTTCTCTACATTTTACAAATGATCTGTGAACTATGTATGTGAATTTCTAAGGGATTTATGACTGTAAATTGCAGCTTCATGCCCCGTGCAATAATGAGATGATGTGGACAATCTATAAAACTCTGATTTGTCGGAAAATAATGAGTAATTATAATTGTCTAATATGTGAATCAACTATGAAAAGTGTTATTATTCATTAACTCGGCCCAAGAAAGGAATTAAACGTAGATTTTCAGTAAAAAAACCTGAAAATTTGTCAATTTAATTTTTTTTCCATATGGCGCAGGCAAAAAAAATTGTTTTCTCTGCGCTATTCTATAGAAAAACATGAAATGAAAGATGATGATTTTTTCCAAAGTTGTATCTTCATCCAATGATGTTCAAACCAATTTTTGAAAACTCAATTTTTGTTTTCCAATAGAAATTATCATTAAAAAATTAAATGAAAACTCTCAGACCAGTGTTGATATATTTATGATTTTTCCGAATTTTTTCAGATTTTTAGATCACTTTTGGATGGCTAAAAACGTGAAAATAAGAAAAAGATGGTTTTTTCAAGATAAAACTGGCAGGAATGCAGATAAAAATCCAAAAATTTGCATGCAAGCATATTTTATCACGATGAACAACAGAAAAAATTGGTGATTCAAAATTCGTTGGGGGCATTTTCACCATACTTATTGCGCTAGACTCTTTTCAGTTTTTCAATAATTTTTATTTGTTCTAAATTGGCCCCAATACCTGAACGCAGCATCATCTTCGTTTTGATGCGGTTTATACGAGAAAACATTTTTTTTCCATCAATAATGAGTCAAAAAAGTATTTTTATGAAAATCGGAAATTTTCATCAAAAATTGTCACTATAATTACAATAATTTGTTAATTTTTTGGTTGAGACAAGTATTGAAAATAACCGGCAATCGCTATTATTTATGGAATAATCCCCCAAATAAGTGAATATTCAATTAAATATTAGCAAATGGTGGAAGTTAAACTTATTCATATTTTCTACTATTCAACTTTAGAATGAAAAATTATTATTTCTCTAATTATGCAATGTAAATAGAAGAACAATAGAAGACATAATGTGTCTAACCTCGGCTATTTGCTTATATTTACTTGAATATTCACTTATTCAGGAGACAATTGTATGAATAAGAAGGATGTTCGGTCATTTTAAAAACTTGTCTCGAAATTAGTTAACAACAAAAATTGACTAAGAAATTGGATATTCCAGACCCGGATATAAATGGCGCATTCTCGTCAAACCAGACAGTGATTTTTTGGGATGTCTCAGATTTTTTTGAATTTTTTTTACAATGTTCTGGAATATGAAAAAAGCATCTGTGATTTTTTTCAGAATTTTCGGACTACTTGTTCTATTTTTGCTGTCTAATTTGATGTTTGAATTGAAATAGCTTGTATCTCCGGTTCTATACGTGATAGAATGATAAATAAAAAAAAATCAATTTTCTTCAAACTTTACGAAAAAAATTGCATCAAATGTCACAAACCATCAGGAGACCCATTTTAGGTAGAAAGAAGACAAAATATTTTTTTTAATCCACTTGGACACCTTCATTTTCGTTGATATTTTCTGACATAATTTTTTGAGCTTCAAAAAAGTAGAGAAAGAAAAATTCAAGGTGAATCTCAAGATGTTAACTCAGTGCACTCGTTTTCGCTTTTTTTTATCATCAAAATTTGACCCTCTTATCGATTCCTCGAACTTTCTAGTGAATGATCACTTGAATTCATGTAGATAATTGTATTAATTGTATATAATTCATTGAAAAATGATAAATATTTCACAATAATCGTTCCTTTGCGTTTTAACCGACGAATAAAAGTGGATTCCGGGGATTCAAACTCGAAAAAACATTGAGGAAACGAAACATAAATGACTTACATTCTCTCTCATGAACTGCTCACGATTATAAATTTTCGAATTACGCGCTAAATGAAGTTCATAGAAAAATGCTCACGTAGTGTCAACATAATCTCGAATTCATTCAAACTCATATGCAGAAACAAGTCACAAGTCACAAGTGCAATTGAAAGTGCTTTATTGTTTGAGTTTCTAATTGTAGACATTATAACTACAATGAAGTTCCGTGATAGGTGCTGTAATCCCCTCAAACTAGAAAATCATTTGGTTAAGAGAAGTTTACGCGAACCGTCCAACATTTTAATTGCAGAGATTCCTACATTAAAAGGAACGAAAATTTGTACAACGTGTCGACTCACGCTGACCGGATTGCCAAGCTGTTGGGTGGTACGAAAGACTTCCTATCAGTTAAACAACCCGATGGATCTCGATTGCATCTGCAGAAGCGTTTCTTATACTGCAACTTGAAAGAATTATATGAATTGCATTTATCAGGATACCCCAATTCAAAAGTTAGTTTCTCGGTGTTTGCAAAATTACGACGTGAGGAGTGTATTTTGGCAGGGGACCCAGGGACACATTGTGTATGCCTGTGTGTACATCATGAAAATTTAAAGCTCATGGTCGATGCCGTAGATTTCCCCCGACTGACGGAAAATGCTGCTCATGAATTAACGTCGTACAAAGATCTGATTGGTTTTATTACCTGCACCCACGCACCACCTGATTGTCACCTGGGAGAACGCTTACAGTGTCCTGACTCGGAGGTTCTTGAAAAATTTCTCCAACAAACGTTCGATGAGAATGACATTGAGCGAGTAGAATATCACTCATGGACTGAGACGGATCGGGCAGCGATGGCAGTGAATGTATTGTCCAGTGATGCATTCATTAAAAGCTTGTGTGAAAAAACTGTGAAAGTCAAAACACACGATTTCATCACCAAACAGCAATCTAAATACGTGGATCATAGGAAACAGAATTTGGAGGAAGGAGAATTCTTGATTCAAATGGATTTCGCAGAAAACTACGCCTTCGTTGCTCAGAACGCTATCCAATCATTCCACTGGAATAACAATCAGGGTACAATCTTCACCGTTGTATATTATTATAAACTTGACAATGAACTCCAGCATGGCTCTATCGTGATATTATCAGATAATCGTGAGCACAACACAGTTGCAGTTTGGGTGTTTCAGAAGCTGATAGTTCAATATTTGCAAAGCAAGTTCAAGGTTACGAAAGCCATTTACTTCACTGATGGAGCAGCCCAGCACTTCAAAAACCGTTACACCATTGCTAATTTGTTAGAACATGTGAACGATCATGGAATACATGCCGAGTGGCATTTCTTCACCACCGCACATGGTAAGGGATCGTGTGACGGTATTGGTGCGAATCTGAAAAGATCTGCAGCGCGAGCCAGTCTTCAAGCAAAATCCCCTGCAGACCAGATCCTGACTGAACATGCGTTATTTAAATGGGCTGTTGACCATTTCCGCACAACAAATATTTTGTTCAGTCCTTCAGCTGACCATGTTAATGCTGCTGAATATCTTTCTGACAGATTCAAGAAAGCAAACCCCGTTCCAGGCATCCAGAAGATTCACTCATTCGTGGTGAACGATGAAAATCAAGTTTGTTTAAGGAGATATTCATTTTCCATGGAGTGTGATCTTTTTCCTAGGAAGATTCGTCAATCTAGGAAAAGAAAACTTTGAGCATTATATTTTAGCATTCGAAAAAAATGACTCATTTTTTAAACTATCCTTCTATTTACATATGAAATTTTCGAAAATGACATCATTAGAGGATCGGCGGAACGGCTTGAGTCGATTTGGCTTTTTACCGAGTTTTCAGGAAATATCTCAGAATCCAAGAGAGATAGCGAAATTTGTGTGGAATCTTTTTTCTAGGTAAGAGCGAGAGCAATATAAAAGGTTTCTACCAAAATTTCGATAGCTCCATCAGTTCGAGATATTCATGAAAAACCCACACTCAGACAAAATTAACTTGAACCATTCTTTTGATTCGCTGGTAATGGATTAGATTATTTTCTTCGTTCTTTATCTTTTTTTTTAATGAAGTTCTTTAATGGGAGCGTTCAAATATTACGTCACACAGTTGGGGGGGGGGGG